ACACACACACACACACAGTCATCCGTGCCACATCACAGGGGTTAGGGGTGTAGCGATCTGGAAAAAAAATTGATACAAAGAAACTAGATACAATGAAATGCGAGATGCACTGTATGACATAAAAATGGGATTGAAAGTATGTTTGTTATATTTTGGATATATGTGTTTGTCACAACTTTTTTTTAAAATAATTAGCTTATTATGACCATATAATGTGGGCAGCGCTGAAATGTTACTGCGCTGGAGCAAACACACTGCTGTAAATGATTTACCCATCTGGGGGAGGTCCACTTAAGCCGTTTGCCCCCACTCTCCAAGTGCCAAGTCTTGGGCAGCTCTCTGCCTAAAGAAAGCTGCGTAGCTCAGACTGTGGGTCATTGGTCCTTGCCGGTAAAAACCTTTTGCCAGTTCTTGTGTTTGAAATCTCCTAATTTTTTTTTGTTAGGTTCTTGCATAAACCCCCAGCATAATGTTAACCTGCATTCTGATAGATTTTTCATGATGGGTCACTACAAGGTATTTTTCTTGGTGGCAGTTAATTATTCAGCAAATAGTCAATTAGTCAACATCGGTAAGCTCCGTCTGACTTTATGGGATTGCACAGTTCCGTGATGCAGCAGTTCTGGGCATTACCGTGATGGCCTTTCTCTTAATAGGAAGTTGGCTTCATGATTTCACATCAGGTTTTGACTAAAAGGCAAGACTGCCAGCATCACTAATCGAGTGTAATGTTGGAGTTCAAAGGGCTATAGGAAGGCGTAAACAAAGGACAGTAATATTCCATTATTGGAAAAGGTGTTTCACGTATGTTGAAACATTCACCTAAGTTATCATCAGAAAGCATTTTTAGACAACTGAAAATAGTATAATCTAGCTAATGAGCTTAAATATTTGTTACTAGCCCCACTAAGCAAGAAAATTATGAAGACAGTAATTACTGGCAGTCATAAAAGCTTAGTTTGTATTTCTTTAATTGCAAATCTGTAAAATTAAGTTGATTTGACATTACTATTAATTGTGGTGCTACTCAATCTCCAAAGAGTGGATGTCGAGAATGTGATGCAGTCACATGACTTCCATCAAAATTCACGGCGACATGCTATTGTGTGCGGCTCAGTGGGCTAGGACTCTGGTGGTCAGAAGGTTGCTGGTTCACATCCCCTAGCTGGCACAGTGATGCTCCTAACCCCTGGATCCAGGGATGTTTGTATGCTGACAACACTAAAAAAAGGACATTTACTGAAACAGTCATATACTGTACATAGGAGGAGAGGGTCTGAAATGCTTATCTTACTGCTCCATTAATAATCTTGAACGTGTGTTACGTGTCCACATGCTAATAAGTATTATATGTTCATGTCATTTACAAGTTCTAAGTAAACACAGGCCATTTCCAAACACTGGAAACACTGTGGCATCAGGCTGGGCTGTTCCCACACAGGCTCTCCTGAGCTCCTCCTCATGTTCCTACATGACCTCACAGACAGAACATAAGGCCCATATCAAACTTACCTCACGTCTGCAGCTGACTAGCCTGTAAATCTCACCTGGTGTCGCGCTCTGGATTAAACCCAGGAAGGGTCGTAAAAATGAGGGACAACCAGGAGTTGAGGAATACCTTCCTCTGAAACCACTTGTCCAATTCTGGGTCACAGAGGTTACGGGTGCAAGCCTGGGAGCAACCCAGGATGGGGCGCCAACCCAACACAGGGCAGACACACACAGACACACCTACAGGCAATTTGGCAACTCCAGTTAATCTCAGTATGTCTTTGGACTATGGGGTGAAACCGGAGTCCTTGGAGGAAACCCCACGACGACATGAGGAGAACATGCAAACTCCACACGCATGGAGACAAGGCGGAGACTCATAACAATCTATTTTCATTTAAAAATCAATTTGAAAACACAATGAAATGCATAAATATTTTAATCTTCGTATACCATTACACACACTGTAATTAACCATACTCCCCAAACTGACACACAAGCAAAAAAACAGGCAGCTTGCTGATCCATGTACATTTGTAGTCATTTCAGTGTTAAATGAATCATACAACATTCATCTTTACAGACATGAAGAATCACGTTGCTTTGCTCAGAAATACCCCCCCCCCTCAAACCCCACAGCAACTTTTATCATCCATTGTAGCTCAGCCATGGTGAGCCAGAGAACATTTGGTTGGGGGCGAAGAGGGGTTAATTAACTACAGACACTGGGCAAGGAGTCAAACAATTTGCAGTTAGTATGCAGTTTGCAATTTGGTGAAATGAAAGGGGAGAAAAAAACCCAAACAAAGCAGAAGATCAGGAAGGCCAGTGTATACTCTTTGGGATGAATAAGCACAGCTTGTAGATGCAAATGAAGAAGTTAGTACAAGTACAGCTGTGCAACACAGAAGCTAAATGCAAGAACGTGGATTACAATATTTTTCACAAGAAGTCAAATGGAGAGCAAGTTCAACTCTGGTACACTAAACATATTTTTGATTTCTTAGTTACGGCACGTATTGAAGCTGAGGGTGGAACAGAAAACAAAGCCTCAGTTTTAACGGTAATACAACTTGGATATGGCTTATACTGTGTATTATTATTATAAATTCTGCAATAATTTATAACATCTCTAAAAGCTGGTGCTGAATTTAAAAGGATTCCTTCAACTCGCATGTCACACTCAATACTTCACTCTGTAGTAATGCACACTGTAGGTTAAACCTCTCACGGGACCTTCAGAGTATAATAAGAAAAGAAATTATCATTCGCAGTCTCAAATTACCTTTCAAACCAAACAAACAGAACTCCTACTATGTACAGAAAAGCGCTTGGATGAGATGCCAGCATTAGCGTCCGACTGGCCGCACGGCCTCCAGAACGCCAGTCGGTGAGCTACTGTGTTCAAGTCAGGTGATCTTTGGACTGCTCTCGCGTCACCGGGTCTGGCTTCCGGCTCTCAACATCCAGCGTACGAGACCCACAGTCGTCTCCCAGGACGCACCACGCCATAGATCTTTACTAAGGAATCGAGGAACCAACCCAGCCTGGTCTTACCCTAAACTGCGCGCCAAACATTAGCCAGGCCTGGCAGGGAAACGCTGCAGGCTGCCCACGGTGCTCGCCGAAGCGAGGACTTCCTCTACGCGGGAAACGCTGACGTCCGTCAGACTGACGGTGGCTCCAACATCCAGGAGTCCTTCCTCACTTGAGTGCAATGTGATCGCGTGTAAACTTCTGCAGCTGCAGATACAGCACCATATGAACTGCGACAAAGCCCCCCCACCCCACCCCCCCTTAAAGCCAACCGGTTCAGCAGACCGGCAGGAAGTGGTCTGGGATATGTTCGTGGGGAAAACACATCGAGCTTTCCCTGGTCAGCTCCATCACCAGTCAGACCAGTTCCGCTTTTGGATCAATAGTATTCCCCACTGAACTTTGACAGTTTAATTTGCCTTAACCTTCCTTAGGCATTTAAGTACTAGCAGTGCATATGCCATTTTTAAAGAGATAATATCAATAAGGGATCCAATTACGAAATCAACCAAAACAAAGGCCGCACGAGTCTACAGAATACCTGTTACAGCCCTCATGGCTTTCCCCGCCCCAAATAGTATACACTGTGCAATTATTATCAAAATATATAAAGAGCAGTGATAAGATTCAATACATTAAAACATCCATTAAAAAAATTATTGTTTTCTCAAAGGGCAAATGAAGTGTCAGCTTGTTGCCCCCCCCCCGTGCCACGCTTCCCATTACCGACTGTGACATGTGTCTGCGTACCCCCCCAGAACTCACGCAGGCGGACCCTCGCAGGGGGTGGACCACAGCAGGCTTGTCTTCAGGTTTCATCAATGGTTTGGTTGGGTGGGGGGCGGGTAGTGGTTCAGGGAGGGGGTCCCCCAAGCACAGGGGTGAGCACCCTCCCACTGAAAGGTCAATACCTCAGCTTTGGTCAGCCAAGATGATTACCAGCCTTTAAGACTGTTCAAAAGGGTAGGGCCCATGAAAACCCTAGAAATAAGAGGGGGGGGGGGGACACTTAACATACTGACTGGTTTTTTCCACACTAGAAGCTTTTAACAAAACACTGAGGATAGCAATTCCTGTAGCAACTATCCATTATTTCTCAGATCATAATTTTACCTATTTTATTCTATGCTCACCTGTTTTTAACAGTTACCAATGACATACTTGTGTGTGGGTGTGTGTGTGTGTGTGTGTGTGTATTTATACATCTCAAATGTCGACAGGCAACACCAAAACGAAAAGTCTAATTTACAAAATACCAGCTGTCCAGCTTGAGACCGGAAAACACGGATCGTCATGATCGCCGAGGCTGAAATTTTGCAAACTATCGCCCGTTCCATCAGCTGTGAAACTTCTTGCTCTGCTCTAGCTGCAAGTCTAACGTCCCCAAACGCTACTGCCTACTCCAGCTTTGAGGCAAAGCAAACCCATGAAATGAGGAGGCGGAAGCCCATTTTTGACACAAATGCTGAGAAGTACTGCGCTGCGTTTAAATGAGCGCCTCACATCCGAGCAGAGAACACCGTGCTGTCCGTAGCAGCTTCCCACAACTCCCTGATAACTAAGATAATGGAAGAACTGGGTGACTGACTAACTCAAGTATGTTGATATCAACCTTTCAACACTAACAGAGAATACAGTTGGAAGGAAGGAGGAGTGTGAGTCCGGCAGGACACAAGAGCGCCCCCTAGGGACCCTGTCACACTATGCACTAATGAAAGCCCTAGGTACGATTCTCCTCCTTGTGCAATTCCTTTTGCAAATGATTTGAAAATAATATAATTTACTATTCGGTTATTAATTCTCGCGCCTACTTACCTGGCCATAAGTCACTACCGATAAGTTGCTCTGCAGAGCATTTGGCGTGATGTTTACAGGGCTGTGGGACAGCCCGTTTCGGTCCGGCTGGATGTGGTCGGCGGGGCCCTTGAGCAGCTCGTCGGCAGAATCGCACCGGCTCTTCTGCGGTGAGGCAAAGGGGTTGAAGTCACCCTCCACGGTACGATGCGGCTGCGTGTTGAACTCCGTCTCGAAGCAGGACAGCTGCTGCGTGACGCCCAGGAGCCCGCCCACCTCCACGCTCAGGATCACCCAGATCACATCTGAAGAGACAGGGCAGGATTTGGGGAAGAGAGGGGTGAAGCTCATGGGGCTTAGTGACACCTAGTGGCTCGGATGACCTTTTCCATCGAAAATGGACAAAGTGAGGAGCAACTGCAGGACCATTGTCCTCAAATATCTGAAGCACCACTGCCAAGAAAAATGCTAAAAAAAATCCAAAGAAGTACTACAGTGCAGGAGGGATAACTTCTAACCTTCCATGAAAATACACCCATGGCAGTAAAATACACAAGGCATCGTTTGAAGGAGGCTGCCTCAATGTGATGCCTCACACCTCTGGGGCTGGAGGCTGAGGTTTGAATCCTACCTCTGCTCTGTGAGCGGAGTTTGCATGTTCTCCCCATGTCACGCAACACACACAGACATGCAGTTAAACTAACTGCTGTCTCTTAAATGTCCCTCCTGCATGACTGTGTGTCTGTATACCATGTAGGGTGTACGCAACCCTAACCAGGATAAGAGGTCAGAAAAAAGTATGGACCGAATACTGAAGGCTGAGATGACTGTGGAGTGGAAAGCTAAATAGCTGTATAGAACAGCCATTGTTGTTATTAACTAGTAAAAAGAACAAGATTAAATTGTATTTTGTGTCTCCCTGTCACGGGTTGGTGCCCCATTCTGGGTTGTTCCCTGCAACCCTGAATACGATAAGCGGTTTTAGAATATGGATGGATGGATATATTTTATTTTATATATTAAATCATGTGATAAGCATTCCTTTCAATTGGTCACATGACTGTACTAGTGATCCACTGGTTATGTAGTCCATTATGCAAAAATGAGGCTGGTAGACAGGTTTCCCATTGGTATTGCAGGAAATCCCACACACCAGTATGGTCTGGATGAAAACTGGATGAGATTCTCACCTCCGTAGAAGAGGCCAGTGGCAGTACACATTCTCCACTGGCCCTGGTACATGCCGGAGCTGGCCGGGCTGTGCATCTGCACGCTGACGTCCGAGATCTCCTGGGGCTCCAACGAACGCACTGTCACCATGTTCACGTGCCCAAACTGGTCCCCGCCCACATACTTTAGGCACACCCCTGGGGGCCAGGCGTCTGCCCCTGCAATGCCAACATTTAGCTTCTTAATTTAAGTAAAAATCTTGTGAGGCTATCTGCACAAGAGTATAACAGAAGGATCCCCACTGAGGATGACACCACTCCCTTAACCACTAGGGCAGTGTTTAGCAACCCGGTCCTTGGAGACCCACAGCCGGTCCACATTTTTGCTCCCTCCCAGCTCACTGCCAAACAGTCCACATTTTTGCTCCCTCGCAGCTCGCTGCCAGACAGTCCACATTTTTGCTCCCAGCCAGACAGTTCACATTTTTGCTCCCTCCCAGCTCGCTGCCAAACAGTCCACATTTTTGCTCCCTTGCAGCTCGCTGCCAGACAGTCCACAATTTTGCTCCCTCCCAGCTTGCTGCCAGACAGTCCACATTTTTGCTCCCTGCCAGACAGTCCACATTTTTGCTCCCTGCCAGACAGTCCACATTTTTGCTCCCTCCCAGCTCCCGTTTGATGGTCCCCAAGGACTGGATTGGGAAACACTGCCATAGCAGTTTAGTTCCTGTTTCTGGCCCTGAGTGTATCCATCCATCCAATTATCCGGTATAGAGCTGCAGTGAGCCTTGAGTCATTTCCATGCAGGGGACTTCTCAGTTGGAACACCAACACCCCAAATCATGTAATTTGGCAAAGTGACATCTCGCCCAGAACGTCTCACTTTGTCAGTCTTTGTATGCCTTGCAATGGACTGGCATCCAATCCAGGGCATCCAAAGCCTTGTGCCCAGTGTTTCCTGGGAAAGATTCCGGGGTCATTGTTACCCTTTATTCTACACATGGTTGGCTGGATGATACTAAAACTCCTTCTTTATTGTACCAGGAAATGTATATCAGAAGAATATAATAACCAGGCGATCTAGTGTTTGAAAGCTGCCTTTGGTGGATCTGGACCCTGTGAATGACTGGCATTCCTGTATAGAGTTGGGCTCACCATTACAATACACTGGATAAGTGGTTATCGAAGATGGATGAAAGTTAAACTCCAGGAACAATCTAAGAGAAATGACCAGGTTATTCATAAACCATCATTATCCTCAAAAGCAGATTTTGACCTTAAAAATACAGTAACATTCAGCTGCACCAGACACTACTGCATGTCCATAACTGTGACCTGACAAGCACAGTCCAACCCGCAGAGCACTGGCAGGGACACACAGTCACACACCTGTGTTTTGTATCCTCCACGTCTTTGTGAACTGTGTGTCGGGGGGGACAGACTCCCCCTCCCCTATTGTGACATCTTCCACAAACGACATTGATGGGGCATTTATGTTTGGGCTCTCAAAATCATAATATGCCCCAATGGCTGCCTGCAGATTCCTGTTGGGAAAGGGGGGGGGGGGGGGGGGGGGGGGTCTGAGGGGGGGGGGGACGACACAGATAAAGTGTAAACTGCCAATGCAATAAAAAAAAAAAACACTGTCAATCCCTATAAAAGAGTGCAGACTGATCAGGACGTCAGTGGTGGATCCAAATTCGGAAGGAACCAAAAAGCACTGATGCCAAATATCATCGTTCATTGCGGACACTGATTGGTGCCCACTCACAAATCCGTCCTCAGTACTCAGACGTTGGTTTGGTGGTGGTTAGTGGTAAATGCGGTCTTCAGACTGGAATGGCAATGCAAAACATGCAACTAGCTTTGAAGCACCAGTTTCTCGAAAACCAGTTCTCTGTACAAATTACTGTCACATGACAGGCAAACAGACATCTATGTTTAAAATTTGCAGTACTAGAGGTGACGGTACAGAGCAATAAAGTTGAATAAGAAAACTATTTATGTTTCAGCAACACTAACTTGAAACGTGCTTCTTAAAGTAATTCAATTCCAATAAGCACTAGGCAGTTTCAGCAATGTCCCTGTGAGGGGCCAGAGAGTAGGATCAACCAACATCCCGAACCACAGGAGTCTGGTTTAAGTTGATATGACTACTCTGCTGGCTGTGGGATTCGAATCCACAACCTTCAGAACCCGCCTCAAATCCCTAAACTACTGAGCTACACACCACCCACAACAGCATAATCATATATCAGCATAACACTGCCACTTCGAAAGAGAACAGATTAACAGAATAGGTTGCCAATTTTGTTGAATTAACTACTATGGAATGTAACTGTAACTGGAACCTCACTGGTTCTGAGGGGCTGTAAAGAACACAAACATGTATTTGATTACGGCTTTGAACAAGTACTCTGGGTAGTTTTTTGCTAGCCTTTGGACTGCCCGAGTTATTATCTGTAGTAGTTCGTCAGGACTGCAGTATGTGTCGTAAGTTGTGTGAATTTCCAAATAGGGATCTAGGTACCTGCTGCGACAGTGCAGCCCAATTGCACACAGGGACATTGGGGTCATTCAGCTCACAAGGCTTCACCACCACAGCGTTTTCCCTCAAACAGCCATTCGCTCTTTCCTATTCCCAGCTCCCCGCTGTAAGCATAAGTTAGAGTGACGCTTATTAATTACGGGGCTTGACATGAGGCTAACTGATGTATTCTAGACGTTAAGGAAAGATCTATAATTAAATTAAGCAATGCAAGGACTTCATTCTGATTTAATCTCTGAGTACATTTGCAAACCTATTCCCCCCTGTGGTCAATGTCTTCTGATAACGCAGGCAGACACGGGTAAAAAAAAAATATTGAATTGCGTAAGAGTAAATAACACAATGTTTCCCAAACAAAATTTAAATAACTTCATGGTCCTATTCTGGAAACCTTTTAGTTAACTTTGTAACAATTCATATAAACAAAAAGAAGGGTATGTTTATTAGATAACTATATTACGTTTTTTGCGAAAATGGAGGCGAGCCTAATACCAGTGGTCGCACCGGTTCACCCCGTAGAGCTTCGTTGTACACGCGTAAAAAGAGGCAGAGGTGCTTTTTGCGGGGGTCTAATTTTAGCCCGTCACCATCCGGACTGAGTGCTCGTCACGTGTCCCGGACCCACCGCAGGGTGCCCACGCGGGTGCCCCGACTGTCCGGCGGGTGCCGTCGCAGCCTTCACGCGCACTTGGGGATCGCGGATACCCGCGCGCCTCCAACGAGAACCAGTAACGTCGTCCGTCGCCGAATGAATCCGAACCGAGCCGAACCAGCTGCACGCGAGCTCGGAGCAACCCGGACGTACGGGAAAAGTTCGGGGATATCCTAGGTCGTTACGCGATGGTACTTTTTTTCCCCTCGTTCTTCTAAAATTAGTTATTCCAGCGTGTGGTAATCGATCCGGATTTTTGTGAGGGGGCAAAAGAAAGGAGCATCGGAGACTCATTTCCAAAAGCATCTCTACCTGGCCGCCACTTACGTCAGTGCGGACTTCCCGCACAGTGACACCCCTTCGGGGGACGCGTTTACCTGGAAGGCAAATAACTGATCCGTAAACACACACTGCAGACGGGTCCCGCTGTACATGGCGCCAAACAACCTTTAGTCGCTGTGGGAGTTTGGCGTGCTCTTGCCATTCTCCCGCTGTTCGGGTATTTCTACAAATTATGACAGCTTAATTGTTATTTACAAAAATTGCAAAATGTCATGCCAAAGTTGTCAAACCTGCATTTTTTTCCTCCCATTTGTAACTTGCTAACTACACGTGTATGTTTTAGCCGCGTTTAGTCGTTAGCTGAACGCCAGGTAAGCGGTACACAGAAATGTTATGCAAATCAACTTCAAACACACCAGCGATACTTTCAGTACAGTCACACAATTCCCCGAACACACAGGCCCCATATCCCCGGGCTCACCAGTTGGTCATATCCAGGAAAAAGGCGCAGCCGGCAGGATTGAGCTGAAAGCCCAGTAACCTCTGGAATTCGGAGATGAGGACGTCTTTGTCGGTAGTTCCCATACAGCTGAATTTCTGCATGAGCTCCGGGTCCAGATCTAAATCCATGCCCTCCATGGCGGATGTCCCGGGGCAGCCGCGGTGGAGGGGAGGGGGGGTGGGGGGGTTTCTCTCCTAATTTAGTCCGAGGCCTCGTTCACTCATAACAACCAACCCAATAACAAGCCCAATACGCATGACTGGGGACAAGGCCTGACGTCGCCAAATGAGAGCGTGTCTGACCGTCACGATGCAGGTTATCGGCATCGCGTCATCGCTACGGCAGCCGGGGGACGAGCGGGCCCCCGCCGCTGCGAAATTGCGCCATGCACACACACACCGAACTTGCGTGTATGAATACGCCTGTAAACTATGAATACGAAAACTGAAATCCATCTTCTTATACAGTATCCAGTACAGGGTCGCGGTGCATAATAATAATAACACTATTGTTATTATTATAATTATTATAATACGTGCAGTAGGCGGATAGGATGAATATAAACCATCCCCATCTTCTTTTCGTAATACTGTATTCCTTGCTTGTTTAATAAATTAAGTCTTCTTGTAAATTATTGTATATACTTATTGTGGACAACTGCAGGGGTACGATCTGGTGGACTTCGGTGCTGAAATGTTGATTTCCAAATGGACTTTTTTTTTTATCATAATGTGAAATTCGTAGTGTTTTCTTGTTCCTGGAATTTTTGCAAGACAAACCAGTCTGCGGACATGAAAAGGCTGGGAATCCCTGATGTGTGTGTAGTAACTTGGAATAATAGGAACACCACCGAGACTGCTGGTGGCGCTGTAACAACAACCTTTATATTTCCTTTAAGGTCAGCCATTGTCCTTTTGTTTCCGGGTAACGCGCAGGAGAAGCGCTTTCCCTCGTTTAAAGATGCCGAAGTAAGTTTTAATTTGATTGTTATTCTTTCTCTTTGGTCGCTGATTGTCTGTTTGGTGAACATCGTTGTTTACGTGTTAAATTGTTTCCGATGTAATTAATTCTGGTTATATGTAAACGCCCCGTGATCTCGTGCAGGAGGAGTGTTTGTCCACTTAGGTTATCAGTGGATGAACGATGAAGTTATCGTTTTTTAAAGACACATGCTTATTGAATGTGGCAGATTTTAATCTGTAAGCATTAAATTTGAGAGTTTGCCGTTTATATAAAGATTGCTTATTGTCGTAATCCTGCGTGGGTTAAAAACTAGGTACACGTTCATCTCATGTTTTTCTCCCCGTTTCGTGTTGGAACCCCGTTTTTATATGAACTACATGTCGGCTTCTTTTTTAATGTTAGGTGTTTATTGGCGTTCAAATGCGTTATGTCTTCAATTCTTTGTCTTTGAAATGCACGCTTAAAATATTGAACGGAGTGGTTTTTAACAGATGTATATGAGCATACTGGATGGCTTATTCTAATAATTAAAATCCCTCCTCTTTCAGGTTTTATTGTGATTACTGTGACACCTACCTAACTCACGACTCGGTAAGTTAGTTTCAATGTAGGGGGCAATCTACGTATGTAGTCGTGTAATACATATTATTTATGTTCTACATTTATTTCTTGTGTAAAATAAGATTCCTTTTTAAAAGTACTACTATCTTATTTCTTCAGCCTTTGAGGTATTAACTTCTGCCTTAATGTTGTCAGCTGTATTTCATTTCTATGTATTACTACATCATTCGCAATGTTGTTCATTTCCATTTGTATCAGTGAATTACACAAAAAATTCTTGCAGCTTGTGATTTTAATGATGCAGTTTCCAGTCTATAAGCATTATTTTATGTTGTACATAGGGAGGCCATTTGAGCTTTGTTGTTCTGCGCTGGAACATTGCAAAAATAAATCCCAATTCTTGTTTAGTTGTTTAGATGCTGCAGGGTCTCGGACGTGGTGACTTTTAACCCTTTCCTGTTAACTTTTTTTCTGACAGCCGTCTGTAAGAAAGACGCACTGTAGTGGCCGTAAGCACAAGGAGAATGTGAAGGACTACTACCAGAAATGGATGGAGGAGCAAGCACAAAGTCTCATTGATAAGACGAGTAAGGGGCACGGGGTGATGGCATGGATGCTGGGAACTGTCAGAGTAGCCATTTTCCTGTTTTGGATCATTGTCTTATGTATTATTGCAGCACAATATGATTTTTATCCTCCCCCCTGGTGTGTTTTAAGCAGATTCACAGTCTGTCAGCATCGGTCTGTTGTCTGTGTGTTGGAGGGGCAGTAGTGATAAGAGAGTTTACTAGTCCTCTCAAAGGCAACAAAACGTTTAAACACCACAATTAAATGTGAAGTATTTAAGATACTTTATAGAAACTAATTAATAAGGATTAGACTATATGGTTGTCAACCTATTTGAATTTTATTCAGCTATGTAGATACCTTGGTTCAGTATGTCCTGTTTTAGCCAGCTAATGGATGAAACTGAAGGAGAATATCAGCTGAAATCCAAAAGCATTTTTAAACCCGAAATATGAAACTGTAAATATGAACTAGGTTTATTCTAGATACTACATTGATCACTCCCACATTGTTACTCTGTTTAGAATATTGTGCAATGGAGTATGTCTCTGTCAAAGACAGTGACTTGTGTTGAGACACTGGCCTATATATATATGTGATATTGAGAAAGGGGGCTGATCTTTACACCATAGGAGTGTCCAACAGAGATTGGTACAGTAAGTATTTCTCTAAGGGACGGGCTTGTTTAATGAGACTTCGCATTGCTTTTTGCAGCGGCTGCCTTTCAGCAGGGGAAGATTCCCCCGTCTCCGTTTCCTGGAGCGCCGCCCCCTGGTGGGGCTATGCTTCCCCCTCCCGCTCTCAGTAAGTGTGCTGATTTGAGCAGTGAAGTGATTATCGATGAAAATGGTGCCAGCACCGCTTAGGGTTTTGCTGTGTTCCTGGTGGTTCGTGTAACAATGCTTCGTTTGTTGCAGATGGTCCACCTCGGCCGGGCATGTTGCCAGCGCCCCCTATGGGTGGACCTCCCATGATGCCCATGATGGGTCCACCGCCACATGGCATGATGCCTGGGGGACCAGGTGAGCCTCTGTCTTCCACTTTGTTAGCGTCACAAGCAGTTAGTGAAATTAGAAATTAGTTTAAAAAAACAAAAACTACAATTACGGTGCAGTTGCCATTTTACTGACTCTTTAAAAGAGGCTTATAGTAAAGTCAAGCCAGTGGCTTTTTAGATTTTAGTAAAAGCTAATCTCAAGCATCATATTTAGATTATTTTAACTGTTTAGAACACTTTGTAGTTAAATAGCCTAGTTGCTGGCATGATATTAAGAATCAACATAACTGGAACTACAGTTTTGTTTCATTTGCTTACTTGGAAAAAGTACGGCAAGAAAATGCGGTTCGGCCAGATTTGTGCTGCTGTCTCAACTTCCTGACTCGGCCATCTAGCAGTGAAGTTGGCCTCAATCTTGTACTGGAGACTGCAGACACCAGTTTCCAAACCTGTCCTGTTTGCCACGCCTCCCTGATCGGATCCCTCCCCTTTTCCCAGCAGGCCCTGGCATGCGCCCACCAATGGGCGGCCCCATGCCGATGATGCCCGGCCCACACATGATGCAGCCGCCCGCGCGACCCATGATGCCCCCTGTTAGACCCGGCATGGTGCGACCAGACAGATAAGCCGCCGGTGTGATCAGCTCCCTCCGTCCCGTCACCTGTGTTCTCTGCTTAGACATTTTTTTAGCATAATAAACTTTTTTTCAGATTCCTGTAATTGTGGCTGTATTTGGCCTTTCAAACATTTTGTGACGTTATAAAACTGCAGTAAATAATAAATGGGCAAATAGTGGGTGTTTTTCACACACATTGAACTTGACTGCCTCAGGCAGTGCATCTAGGGTACATCCTTTTCATGATATGGTTAGACTGTAGTTAATGACATCTTGTGTAAATACGTCTATCGTTGTGCCTCAAATGTTTAAAAACCATCATTAATATAAGGTGCAGCTTGACTGTATAGTAACTAATAGGTTTGTTTTTCTTTTCTATTTCTCCCTTTGACCACCTTCCCCCTCCCCTTCATTGGACCTGGGTGCAAACACATTGTAGATTGTGCATAAATCCATAGGTCTGCCATGAAAATCTGCTCAGGTCCTAGTCAGATGTCACATTATCACTTAAGTCTCCATATCTGTGCAGTTTCTATGAAGGCCACAAACCTTATTAAATGTTTGTTTTTCATATATATTAACTTGAGTTTGGCTGTTTTGATAATTGATTAATCATATGATCAAGTGATCAGTTCATCAATTAGTTGGCCACAACGGAGGGTTTAAATACCGTATTTAAAAAACATTAAGAGGCAGTCACAGTTGTAATTAAACCTTTACACAGTGAAAAGCACCTCTGTTTAAAGTGACAGAGTGGCATAGGAACAAAGATCTCCTGTCTTCACCATATGGAGTTAGTTTATGGTTGTTATTAATACTGTGGTATATGATGATATTTTTAAAACTGATGCTATTTCAGCATTTTTAAATAAATTTTGCTGAGCATGGGTAGGTTTTTTGTCGCCAAAATTTCAAAATATTGCAGTATATTGTATTACTGTAATGCTGCTCAAGTGCAGTGACAATTTCAAAACTGTTCATAAAAGTTTGCCCATTTCATTACAATGCGTTTGTCTTTGTTGCAATACATCCCACCGTTGGTCTGGTGGAATATCGTTGACGTTCACATCCACCAACCGCGGCAATCTGCATCCACTGACAAACGTAGTATGTACACAAGAATCCGTATTCAAACTGTAGTTGGACATGGAAAATTGAAGTGAACTAAGCTTAACACAACAACATTGTTAGGTGGTGATGTCACTATACATGATTTAACACCATACTGCAAAAATGCGACCAGTCTGACAAAATTCATCAACTGTTTTTATTGCTTATCAATGAGTTGTTGCGCTCCAAAGCATCAGTAAAAAAAATGTCTGTCTGCTCAATTTGTCTCATGTATCAACCCAACAATGAACAATCTTTTTAAATCATAAAAAGCAAGGGAAATTTGTGAAGTTAAAGCTGAACACTTCCGGTGACTGACACTTGCTACTCTACCCATGTGTGTTTTTGGCAGTGATGAACCTGGAGGGCTGTTGAGCAGTCACAAGGGAGGGAGCCTTTCCGGTCAGCAAAGGCACAATGAAACTGACCTCCTTTATGTTCTTTTCATCAGCCCAATCAAATCACATTTTTCTGGTGGTTGGTAACAACAGTAATAATGACGTGGTCAGTCCAGGTATAGTGATTAACCTGCAGCCCATAGGAAGCAGGATGTAAAATAAGAAAAATTTGTCTGCTAACAATGTTAGTCTTTTTGGAGAGAACAAAAAAATCAGTCGCCTTTGAGCCATTAATAAATAAAATGCTTTGTTTTTCTTTGACAAGAGGAGGTGTTGAAGCCCCCACAGCTGAACCAAATACTCATGGCTGTTCAGTTTAATTTGCAAATAATTTTGGGGGGAGAGGGAGGTGTAAAGAGAATTTCCCCCTAAAATGTTTATTAGCATAGCTTAACAGCTTTGATATACATCAATAATCATTATATGATTATATATAACGTTGTACAATGATGATGTTTATTATTAATGTATACTATAGCTGTTATGGTATGTTAGGATTTTAAGGTATACTTATATGAGGCTTATGAATTTTCTGTAAATGCATTCTACAGGTGCAGTTAATGTAAATTGTAACCACTTCTATGGTATTACCTATTTAGTGTAGATCCATGACATAAAATCTTGATTAGATCCATGTTAATTCCAGGTTTTAACATTACAAACTATGGAAAGGATGAAGATAGAAAATGTAGTATATGTGTGTGTTAGTGAACACTTGGATACATACCACGGAATCTCATGATACTATTTAGTCTTCCTGATAACGTAGTGCAAGCTGAATCCTTGGGTTCCTTTAAATCAGAGCTAGATAAGATTTTAACAACTCTGAGCTATTAGTTAAGTTCTCCCCAAGCGAGCTCGATGGGCCGAATGGCCTCCTCTCGTTTGTATAGTTCTTATGTTCTTATTTCTTGAAGGGACGATACGATTCACATTGTGACAGTCGACTTTACTGGTGGATGTTTTGCATGTAGCTCTGTGGTTGACGTGGGTTACATACTGGCCACGTTTGTCCAGCTTTCCTCAAGGTTCTCCACTGTCGTCCTCCATCAAATAAGAGGCGACAGAGTAAAGATGGAGGTCACGGAGATAAGTGGAGGTGGTGTCGGGTTTTCTGCAGAGCACATGGTGCGGACTGGAGGAGTGAGGTGGTAGAGATGGATGAAGGTCAGAAGGGAGCTGTTGAATGGATGTGAGGGTTATCACATCAAAGGAGGAAACATGAGGATTAATGCTGTGGAGAAGATAGCAGTGGGATGGTTTTTGAGGAGGTACCAGTAGACAGGTATGGTCAAGGTGGTCCAGTAACACAGAGGACATGTATCTGATGTTAAGTATGGAAGTTATGTGGAATCTCAGAGGATGCATTTATAGCTACGCCATCAAGCTTGCTTGTTCACATCCCTCAGACTCGGTGTCCAAATGAAGCGTGACTTGCATGCATGTTCAGGAAGTTAATAGCCCAGGTTCACTTTAAGAGCACAATTACCTTCAGCTCACAAACAAGACAGATTGGAAGGCAATATGATCAGTGAGGTTCCGAGTTGGGTTCCAGAAAACAGCTGTAGCATATGTAATATTGTCTGTTGTACATTTCACTGTTGGATGCCTTGTACCACAGTAATGCACAGGTTAATTCAGAAAATGGTGAAAAGACATATATGTACATTTCAGTAAATACCTGATCAATAGCCAAACACTCCGTGACGCACGTGTTGGTAAGTACAGGCATGGGCAAAAACAAACCCACACGTATGAATACTCTTCTGGGCACTGAAAGAATTGAGCACAGAGAGGCGCTTGGCTGTGCCTGAAATTTAAGAACAAGAACCAGTGCTTAGGACTATAATGCATATGGAGTCTCAGAGGAAGAACCTATCAGCACTTGTTTCAAAGAGGGTTAATATCCCAGCAAAAGATTATCTTGGGATGGTTATAGGATATGTGTCTAGCATTGCTAAAATAAAGAGATTCCCCGGACATGTCTTCCTCAGACTAAATCAGTGAAAGAGGCCGTATAACTTAATAATGTGGAAATTGTAGAGCAGGGAAAGAAGCTCTTTGGGCCTCATATGCCTGATGTAATATATATGACACATTTAATCTCAAAGACCAACCCTTATGAGTCTCAAACGTGCTGTGGGCAATGGAAGCGTCACGCCTGAGATTTACAGAGCGACCAAAGACCTCATTATCCATGCACTCAGGGCATACACTCACTGGCTACTTTATTAGGTATACCTTGCTAGTACTGGGTTGGACCCCCTTTTGTCTTCAGAACTGCCTTAATTGTTTGTGGCTTAAATCCAACGAGGTGCTCGAAACATTCATCAGCGACATCGGTCCATGTTGACATGATAGCATCACACAGTTCCTGCAGATCTGTCGGCTGCACCTTCATGATGTGAATCTCCCGTTCCATCACTTCCCATAGGTGCTGTATTCGACTGAGATCTGGTGACCGTGGAGGCCATCTGAGTACAGTGATCTCATTGTCAGACTGGTTCCTTGAACATGACATGATATGAGCTTTGTGACATGGCGTGTTATCTTGCTGGAAGTAAGCCATTAGAAACTGGGCTGACTGTGGTCATGAAGGGATGGAGATGTTCAGCAACTATACTCAGGTGGGCTGTGGCAATTAAATGATGCTCACTTGGTACTAAGGGACCCAAGGTTCACCAAGAAAATATCCACCTCACCATTACACCACCACCCCCAACTTCATTTGTTGAGGACTCCGCAAATGCACGTAAAAACAGATGATGATATTGCCTCCGCAGTGACCAGAGACTTGCACAAAGGGCCGCTGACCAATGCTGTTCCGCCCTTCATCTTTAGTGAGTTTCAGTCTTTTCTAATCTGTAAATATGTACTTGGGAGGGTGTTCCAAATGCATAATACCTATACAAAACGACATTATCATGTATATGTGCAAAGTGTGTAGAAATATCATGTACATTAAATCACTCTGGTTCTGTAATACTTTGCTTACATGTGAAAGTGGGACATCTGGGGCTGCATGTGGCTCAGTGGGCTCGGCCTGTGTGTCTGTAATCAGAAGGTCACCGGTTCAAACCCAGCTTCAGTATGTCTGCGGGTCCTTGAGCAAGGCCCTTAACCCCCAGCTCCCTCGGTGCTCCAACAGGTGACAGCCCTTCATGGACAGCTTACTCTACAAAGAACAAGTTGAGGGAGGTATAAAGGCAATTTACCCACGGGGATCAACAAAGTATCTATTATTATATCACTTACTATAGGACTTGTATATATTCTATGCACCAGTCTTTCATTGCACCAGCGATGCTGAGCCACCCAAGCTAACAGGTCGGAACGCCAACAGAAAACCGCATAGTTCTGTATGAAGCCAAAGAAATGAGCACATTTCCTGCTACCAAGAGTATAAAACATGTACAGGTTGAGCATTTCTTAACTGAACATTTACAGTTCATTCATGGCGTAAAGTTTTTAATGAGATAGGCGGCTCTTAAGGAGTTTGTCATCTCAAAAACATAGCAAGTGAAAAACATCACGAATAATGAAAAACGCAGTGCATTTACATTTTGTTGTATTCCCTGGACAGGGAATATAGGTGGTTTTGTGGCTGGTCAGACTCTCCGACCGGCTGGTATTGTATGCTGAACAAGAACTTTGGTCCTGGAAATGGCAGCACGGCGTCTCAGCTTCAGGCATCTCGCATCGGCCTTTCTCAGGCTCAGTCTCAGTCTCAGTCTCAGTCTCGTTCCTGCAGTCGCTCAGTAGTCACTACACTAGCGTTCCCAATCTCTGATTGCCTGTATTTACAGTATGCAAACCTAAGTAATGTGTATAAGAGCTGATTTCCTCTATTCTGTTTAGTACAGTATACAGTACACTACAGTATAAACATTTATAAATATAATAAAAAAGTTATGAATGGTGGGGTTTTTTTGTCTTTCTTTTTCTGCTTTTATTTACTGACTGTTGCAACAAGAAAATTTCCCCAGTGTGGGATCAATAAAGTCTTATCTTATTTTATCAAATGTGACATTAAAACAATCTAAAGATGGTCGACACAAACCCACTACCAGCACAGTCAGTACTGGGCGGCTCCTCGCTTATCAACCAATTCGCTTAACGGCCTAGAAACGGAATTCGGTCATTAAGTGAGGAGTGTCTGTATTTTGACCCTGTTTTGGCCACTGGTTTTGAGCCTGGTTTTGGCCACTGGTTTTGGACGTGCACCTGTCTTTGTGGATATTGGACTTACCTGCTTTTTGACCTGATTTTATTATTTTTATGTTATGTAGGTAAGGGTGACCAAATGCCATGATCAAGACTTATATTTGGTCAAGATTTATATTGATTCTTCCCACGAGTTAGAGCTTATAAAAACATGGATAAGGATGTACATCAGATTTCATTTTGAGACAAATTGCATAAAAATTGAAGCATCAGCGCTTGGTGGTAGCGAAGGGTCCCTCTAAAGCAGGGGTGGCCAGTCTTACCCGCAAAGGGCCGGTGTCTATGCAGGTTTGTGGGATAACCTGTAGGTCAGCTGTTCAAACCCAGGTGTGAGGACTCTTCAGCCAATCAGTCCTCTAATTTGTGTACACAGCAAAAACCTTCATACACCACGGCCTTTTCTGGGTATGACTGCCCACCCCTGTTCTAAAGGGTGGCTGCATGTGTGTGAATGGATACATTGTTTTTTCATTATGGGTTCTGTCCTTATACCTGTGGTTTGACCCTGTTTTTGCCCGCTGGTTTTGACTGCCTTTTGACCCCATTTTTTGGTTTCCATGGCTACCTGTGATGCCTTCCCTGACCACAAATTATCGCTGGGCCCTATTAAAACTTCCAAGCGTGATCTTCCATTGAGTGCAACACACTGCAATACCACAAGGGAAGATGGACAGAGTAAATTTCAGTTTTATTGACACTTCTGTTGATATCCACGATTCTTTATTCAGGTTGTTCCACACAAAGTTTCAATACTGTACATTCATCAAAACTAGGCTAACTCATTGTGATGACAGGTGTGTAGTCTTCGAATGTGCTTTCAACATTTACAAAACTGTTAGAGACATGGGCCGAGTGAGGCTAAATGCTATTAATAATCAGCAGAGGAAAAAAAAAAAAAATACAGACATACACACAACACAAGTCATTACAGCGCTTTTACCACTAGGGGCGCACTCTCCCCTCTATATACAGCCGTCTGCATCCTTGTCATTTCCAAGGGGTGCATCTTCCATCCAGCTCCCATTGATTAAACAAGAGATATTGCTTCTACAGAGACAGAGACGGTAGTATTGTCTGGCTTTTAGAAGACAAAAAGTTCAATGAAAGAGCCAGATAAGCACTATGAGCTAAAACTGAGCTAAAGGTTTTTTTGTAATTAAAAATAAAGCATCCACATCCAACAATATCACTCATGGTAACTGTGCTTACAGACTGCAGTGTTAAGACATACGTAAACATATAAATACATATATATTTATTTTGCAAATAAAGTTCTTTAAAGAAAATATCTTTTAATCTTTTGTTTAAAGTCCTATAATTATTGCACACATAGTAACAATATACCTGTAATGAAAACGACCAATGTTTACATCCCATCTGTATTGGCTGGAGGTGAATCAAGGAGATTCCTGAAGCCTAAAATACTGAAAGTGCCTGGCAGGGATGTGGTGAAGGCAGCACAGATTTGCTAAAATGTAAAAGGTACAGCCTCCGATAGAATGGAGGCTTGTTAGCACTACACAAGCGTGAAACTCAAGCACCTACACCAAATGACCCTAAGGGGGCGCTGAAGCCGCATACTGAGTTAACTAGAGTGGTACATACAGGAAAAAATTTTCTGTAGGTTTTTTTTTTTTTTTTTTAAACTATACACTGATACACTGAACCGGGATTCACAGTGCAGATAAGGTTACGCACACCATCACAAGATCGAAACAGTTCGAACCGGAATACGTTTCACGTCACATGGCCAAACTCGGAGAAGTGTTCGACGAACACGACCCCCTCCAGTTTTCCTTTAACCCTCCGCTTCCTTCTCCAGCAGGAGATTTGGGACACTGACTACAAAAATTTAACGTATTTTCAAATATACATTGATGTATATACAACACACGAGATGAAAATATTTACTCTCACTTGAACAGATTAAGCTTTGTTAATTTATCAGAATGTACACTGACATATACACATTAATTTTACAATAATATAAATATAGCAGTTGATTTTAGAGATAATAGCATGGCTTCTAGTGTCACATAAAATGATCATTAAAGACAATAAAAGTAAACAATTATTATATATTTGTGTGGCGGTATTTTATAAACCACAAGGACAGAGGTAATGAAATTCAACCCGGTTTTGTAATCGCAGGGAACGGAAGTCGTGTTTCAAATGATTTCATATTTAGGGTTTTACCACCAATCAACTGAAAGCCACAAATGGACATTGACTGGGTAACACCAGACATAGAGACGATCCTGTTAAGTCCTCATAGTGAAGCGTTACACTGGGAGATAAAAGGACTTCACACAACAATTACTTTTCTATGAGGACTTAAATACAGTGGTTCACCTAATTCAAGCATATTTACGTCTCTGAGGTTCTGCCAGGGCTCCTGCATGTCCTCCAGTTTCCTTCTGCGTTTCGTGAGGCTTTCAGTAACTCTCAATCGCTCTTTACTGTGCAAGGAAAAATGTGTCTGTGCATCCTCAGAGGGACTGCTGTCTCGCTCACTGTGTATTAACTTATGCCCTGTGTTTCCTAGGATTTGGTCCACAATCCATAATGGATGAGTCAATAAATAAAAGTGTTAATATTCAACTACATGCTACTAATCCTGACTAGGCAAGAATGAGTGATAACCAATAGCATGGTGTCCTAAAACTTAAATAAAGGAAATAAAATATCCTCGTCTGTTTCACAGGAATGCAGTACATTTTTGTAGAGTACACACATATTGTTGCTTATTAAAACTGCACTGGCAGTGCTAAATTTAATTAGTAAGTGACACCTCATCAAGGTGCACTGTACCAAAATATTCCTTTGTGCTTTGATGGTCGTATATTAAACTGGAAAAGCTATAACAAGCATGGAGAGGTCAAATCTTTATATCCACATTATCCCGATTGTGCAGTTATTTTTAGGGACAGAGATAGTATGTGCTTCCGCTGTGTGCTTCTTTGCCACTGTTAAAGGTGCCCGTGTTGTATCCAGACTGTTTTTCTTATAGCTTTGGGCAAACAGAACATGTTGTGGCCTCTAGGTGTGTGGCAACTGAAATCCCGGTGACATGCGGAGCACAGCTGAGGGAGAGCTTCCCATCGGAAGCCGTTTGGGCTTCGGACCAGCCAGACACGCAGATCATGTGCTGATCTGTGATGACAAGCCACAAAACCAAAAGCTGGTGGCGGTTTGATGAGTCCTGGTAATGCTTCATCTCTATGTGGGCATCTGGCATATTGGGATGATAATAATAATAATAACAATAATAATAATTATTATTATTATTATAAATCAATGATAATAATAATAATAATAATTATTATTATTAATAATAATCAATGATAATAATAATTATTATTTACTTTTATAGAGCCTTTCTAATACTGAAGGAGAGCAAAGCAAAGAAAGGCCAAAAAATATTTTAATCCCACAATGCACCTGTTTGATTTTTGGCCTACAGTAAATGATGCTTAATTTCACAATGGTCTTGCAGGGTGTCAGCCAGGGAGGTGGGCACAGAGCACAAGCCAGCATAAGACTCTGAAACGATCCATTTTTGTCGAGATATAGCCAAATGGTCTGCATCCCCATAGTTTTCATAAAACGTTACCAGTGTTTTAAAGGCTCAGATTACGTTCATTCACCGTGTTTTCTACCTATGTGTGCTTAAGGTTGTTACCTGTATTCTACCGACATACACATACTTATTACTTTATCTTTACAATGTTTGTGTACCGTGCTACTCAGAGCCACAAAAGCTTTTCTAACGGCAATAAATCACGAAACATGCTAAATTATGGGCCGCTCGTGTGACCAGAAAGATGTGTCTCCCGTAGCCAGACGGTGTGCGGGTTGCTGGTAATTCGATTTATGGACAGAGATCCAGGTCGGTACAGGAGCTTTTCTAGTGCTTCACACTGTGAATATGGACACGGCCCCACGATGCACATGCAACCGCAGGCAGCCCCCCCCCCCCCTTCCTATATAGAGGCCGAGGATTCTGTGCTCTTTTTTTATCCCTTTCTGGGCCTGTGGCAATGAGAACAATGCCGATGGACTCCGAGAAGCTCAGAGCATATAAGGACTCATGGGAATTTTACTTAGGCAAAAGTGTTCTGAGGGCAGAAGGAAAAATAATTGGTTCAGAGAGACAACCAATCATAATGTAGAGGAGGTGGGTCCCTGCAACTAGAGGTGGGACTAATCAGATGTCTTGCTCCTATATCCTCTAGTTGCTTGGACCCACCTCCTCTACAATCTGATTGGTTATCTCACTGAATTAATAATTTTTCCTTCTGTCCTCAGAACTTTTTTGTGTAAGTAAAACTCCCATGAGCCGAATAAGGCAACGCAACTTACCTGAATATACAGAACAGAAAAAAGCAGAGCTTGAAATTTGCTACTTTACAAGCCTTAGTTAACTACCTAGGATATTTATACACCCTTTCTTTGGGAAAAGAAACCGGGTCTGAGAGCTCATCTTTCATTTTAGACCCTCCCACCCCACCCCACCCATAGCCCTGTACTGGGGGCTGAAGTTTGGGGTGTTGCAGTGTTTCGGGCACCTCAACCAGCGCAGACTCTAGAGAGTCCTGAGGGATGGTGGGGAGTCTTCACCCCCCCCCAACAGACATCATCACAGCAGCACGTGGGGTAGGTACCTCCTAATTCACTGAAGTCATACCTATTTGTAAGCTCAGCAGATGGAATGGGTTGATAAACAGATTTTGAGTTCTTGGTCTTCCTTCTCTTCACCTGGAAGGAGGGGACAAAACTATGGAGCAGGGTTGTGGGATGTCCTGCCTGGAGTGTGGGGGGGTTGAGGTGGGAGAGAACACTGTGCCAACCCTGGCTGGCCTCTCTGAGGGGCGTGATGAGCGCTGGAGGAAGGGAAGCTGGCTGAGGATCATAGTTCGGACTCAGGTGTGACAGCCATCTGGTATCCGGTCCCATAGCGGCTGCTGGGGGCGCTGCTGGTCATCTCCATGGGGGAGGTACTGCAGGGGCCCAGATAGGAGCGGTGAGTGGGCATGGGGGAGGGTGTCTCGCTGGGGTTCTTGCTGAGGATGAAGCGCGTCTCATCCTGGTCCTCCAAGTTGGACATGTCCTTCATCATCCCCTTCTTGTAGGAGACGGACAGCTTGTTGGAGCCGTCGGACATCAGGTTGAACTGCCGGGCGATGAAGACGATGGGCAGTGGCAGCATGGCCACCCCGATGAGGGCGAAGCACATAGTCATAGCCCAGGGGGGGTAGCTCTGGAAGCGCTCTGCAGCCTGCAAGGCAGAACAAGGGGTGTCTCTCAATATGGGTACTTGACCGTACTTGCATTCTCGCGTTCCCGCTTTACGTCACCGTCCAGTTTCAACACTAAGACCAGAAGTACAGAGGATGGTAAAAATCCCCGGATGTTGGTCTTGCTTCTCCCCATATATCAAGGATACATCGGTTGCATCCTTGCCAAGCAAGACCAATCCCATGATTCATTGCGCCCCACGATTGTTCTTGGGAGGCAAGTTGCCAAGACCACAAGTATGATCTTTGCCTTATTGGTACTGAGAAACATCCCAATAGATGTAAAAGAGTGAGGCTCATGCACAAAGTGAACTGTTGGATAGAATGTTATTCTGGGGGGAGTAAAGAGAGACATCATTGGCTGGAGTAGAGCCCTAAAGACCTCAGGACATTAAACACAAGAAAAATGTGATTGGTTGAGGTCGTTTATATCAAGGAACTGGCAAGATGAGCTGAAATTCTAATGTAGTAAAACTCCAAAACTTGGAGACGTCATGGTTGCCTTGGTTTTATTACTTAGTGATCAAGGTAGCTTGTCACACCACCTGGATTTCAAGTGCAATGCATGCAGGACTAGTCCTATACTTAATATTTTGAGTAGTGGGGAAAAAATGCAGTCACTGACCAGGTCCTGCACCCAGGCGTTGTACCCTGGTGGGACGACAGCCATCTCGATGATGGTGGCAGAGATGAGGATAATCAGACAGAATGGAGAGACGTACTTCCACATGTAGAAGTAGAAGGCATAAGGTCGGAAGCCGAGCATGTCCTCCAGGTCCTGCATGAACCTGACAGCCAGAGAGCAACAGGAACAGGTCACAAGAGCCCAGAGGGTGTGAATTAAAGGCAGAAGACTAATAATACAAAATAAAATACACAACCTTTCTTTCACCTAAAATGAGACAGGGCGGCAAACGAATTCGGACACTGGAGTCTGTGAAATGTATGTTTCATTTGTTCAAAAGCAGGCCCAGATATGAAAGTTGGCCAAAGACAACTCACACACGTACACATACACACACACGTAAGTCACGTAGAAGCCAAACATTAAGGAAATGACTCATATCCCTGCTGTGCCAAATTTAAAGAAATTGTAAGCTAATACATAATCAAGCAGATCAAGAGCTGATATATAAGCTGCGTGAAAAAAATCTGAGGAACACGAACTTGATACACAGGAGAATGGAGGCTGTAAACTCTCCGAGAAACTCAGTGCCTACAGCCTATTATCAGGAAGTGAGCTAATGCTGATTATTACCCCGGCCCAAAGTCTGAGCTGCTTATTTATTTATTCACTTGCTTCTTTTATTTTAAATCACAAATTTTAACAACTTAATGTTGATAGCCAAATAGCTAGCTATCTAGCATCTTCGTTAAGTGTGACTATAAAGCACAATTAGTTCATATCTTGTTAACACTGACATATCATCCTTGATGACAACAACCCAGGTAAGTCTATTTAAAACATTAAACTGTTCACTGACAGCTGTGTAAAAGCAGGCTTTTATGTGTCTTACATAGTGTGTCTCAGTACCATGTTTTAAGTTTGTTTTGTAATGTAGTTTCTGAGAAAATGCATTTTTTTAGATGTGTTCATTTATTAGTATATATAATGCATTAGTTTGGTGGTAACTGACTCTAATTGAGCAGTTGTTTGTTAAAGACAAATATGTGTGATTTCCAAGTCTGGTGGTATCAAACACCCACTGTGTGATGTTTTTTTTCCTCACGACGACTGAAATATAAAATGTTCCAGCCATCTGTGCAGTAGCTCTGACACAAGGTGTTTGCATTACTGCACATGTAATTCCCTGTATCTGGATCTGAACCAGGAAAACGGAGACTGAAGATTGTTGTGGTTCAACTGTTCCAGACTGAGACTCCGTTCCTGATCAGTGATGGTCCCCAGGATGACTGCCGTTAATGAAAGGTTAGGATTATGGGTTTTGAGACATGACATCTTCCTCAGAATGACTACACTAAAGGAGGTTATGGCCATCCGGTACCTCTTGGTGCCATAGATCCATGCGACTGAGACGTTCTCTAGGATGACAACAATGGTGAGGGGCAAGCCAGCGGAGTAGTCATCGAACATCGTGACAAAGTAGTTCCCTGATCTTTGGACGAACAGGAGGCCGAACAGGAAGGCAACAATGCAACAGCACACTGAGAGAGGGAGAGAGGAGAAAGAGAGTGAGAGTGAGAGAGAGCAACACAGAGAGAACAAGTGAGAGAGAGCAAGAGAGAAAGCAGAAAACAGAGAGAGCAAGAGAGAGAGAGAATCAATTGCTCTAGAATGACCAATAACAGACTATTTTGCTTGACTCCAAAGTGGAGAGTTAAAAGTAAAGGATTTATCAGCATCACAAAGGGTACGGGAAGCAGGGAGCCTGAGAAGAGCCCTTACCTGTGAACACTTCCTTGCGCACCTTGAAGGTATCGAGGACAGGAGTGGTGATACCCTCCATGGTGCCAATCATGCTGCCCAGGCCAAGGTTAATAAGCATGAAGAAGAACATGACAGACCAGAAAGGTGAGGCCGGGAAGTGCGTCATGGCCTCAGTGAAGGCGATGAAGGCCAGGCCTGTGCCTTGGACTGCCTGAAAGGGAGAATGGAGCAGACGGAAGTCATCCACCATTCTCAGCACTGCCATGCTATGTAACATCCAGCTGTTACAGATGGGCAACCAGGGAGACGACGGACTAATTGGCAGCACAGAGAGAGAGAGAGCAGAGACAGACGGAGATGCTGAGCTGTATGTACGGGGAGGGAAAGGGGACAGAAGGGACCGGGAAATAGGAGTGAGAAATGGAAAACTGTATTTCATATTTTACTCAGGCATTCTGCAGTAATTGCATAGCGGCATATTTATGGCTCTACGAGACAGCGACACAATGTTTATTCAAGGGTCAGAACCCAACAGGCTGTGAAATGCGTCCGTTCCTGCCGCACTCTTTGACATCGTGAGTGACAGACTATAATACTCATTGTTTTCCTCCAGAAAGCGCATTTAAACATTACTTTAAACTGTGCAACAATGGCAATAAAGCAATTAAAAAAAAGGCTGTTAAACAATGACCGATGCCCCATTTTACGGGTCTTCAAAGGAACCTCAATCACAGGAGCTGTTCATTTTCAATACGAATAGACAGAAAAGGAAAAAGATGAGAATTCTCCAGTGACACTGATGAACATGCTCACCTTGTTCAGCTCATCCTCTAGCAGACAGGGGTCCAAGCCCAGCTGGGCGAAGCTGCCCTCCCTCACCGTCTTGATGACGCCGTACATCTCGGCGTAGTCCGAGCTGGACAGGTGGGAGAAGTTGACGTGCGGAGGGATGAGGTCGTAGCTCAGCACATGGGAGTTAAGGTAGCCCAGGATCTTCTCGGCGTTCCTGCAGGGGTTAAGAATTCAGGTTTGAGCATTAATGGCAAAAGCAGAGAACATCTTGCTACACAGCTGGTCTACGTCCATGTTGGAGTAACTGAGGTGAAACAAAACAATATGAGCATCTCCGTAGATGGGTGGTTGTAGGTTCAAGTCCCGTCCCTGCCATATGTTGTGTGGGATTCCTGATTCCTGCAGTTGGTAGGGGTGCAGTTGGCATCTGTAAATTGCCCAAAGTAAGTGTTTTGGTGCGTTCCTTGCAATGGACTGGATTAGATGTGTCCCTAATCCAGAGCCTCCCCAGCGCCCTCTACTGGGTAAGTGTGTAAGGAACAACCCACTGACCCAATGGCAAAATTCAGATGCATAGGCAAAGGCCCTTTATATGTATTGATTTTTCTGTGTTTCTAAAAGAGGCTGCATATAATATTATGTAGCTGCTTGCATACAGTTTGGCTAATCTTAGTAATTATTGAGAAAGGTAGGAGTTATTAAATAAGTGTAGCATAAAATGTGCTACTCAGTGGACAGACTGTGACCACACAGCTACCAGGCTGTGACTTTGGTCTGTATGGTCCTCATGTTCTCCCTGCGTTTACATGGGTTTCCTCGGGGTATTCTGACGCATTTATCCAAAGCAAGTAATTTTATCCATTTCTGAAGTTTAAGAGTCAACATTTCTGCAATACTCCAGGTTAATACTCTTAGCCTCCTGCTGTCTTCTTTCCTCTGCTCCACTTCCCTCTGTTTATTTTACACTCCCCTTTCAAATTGTAAAATGCTGCCAACTGCTCCTGAGTTCTTAACGCTGCTGCATGCAGCGGCTGCTTTTGATTTCTGATTGTAATTTCGCCTTGTTTTCCCCACAGGTGAGCTGCTACGTTTACATTCATTTATTCAGCAGATGCTTTGTCTAAGTGCAACATTCAAAAATATT